AGTAGTGGGATTGCCGGGTCATATGGTAGTTCTATTTTAAGGTTTTTAAGGAACCTCCATATTGTATTCCATGGTGACTGTATCAATTTACATTCCTACCAACAGTGCAAGAGGGTTCCATTTTATCCATACCCTCTCCAGCACTTACTGTTTGTAGATTTAAATATATATATTTTTTATTTATTTATTTATGGCTGCACCGGTTCTCCGTTGCGGCAAGTGGACTTCTCTCTAGTTGTGTTGTGCACATTTAGTTGCCTCACAGCATGTGGGATCTTAGTTTCCTGACAGGGCTTGAATCCATGTCCCCTGCCTTGCAAGGCAGATTCTTAACACTGGACCACCAGGGAAGTCCCTGTTTGTAGATTTTTTGATGGTGGTTGTTCTGACAAGTGTGAGATGATACCTCATTGTAGTTTTGATTTGCATTTCTCTAATAATGAGTGACATTGAACATCTTTTTATTTTCTTGGCCATCTGTATGTCTTCTTTGGAGAAATGTCTACTGAGGTCTTTACTCATTTTTTGGTTGGGCTATTATTTTTTTTTTAATACTGAGCTGCATATTCTGTTTGTATATTTTGGAAATCGATCCTTTGTCTGTTGCTTTGTTTACAAATATTTTCTTCCATTCCGAGGGTTGTCTTTTCATCTTGTTTATGTTTTCTCTACCATGTAAAAGCTTTTAAGCTTAATGAAGTCCCATGTGTTTATTTTTATCTAGGAGGTGGGTCAAAAAGGATCTTGCTGCGATTTATATTGAAGAGTATTCTTTTGTCTAGGAGATGGGTCAAAAAGGATCTTGCTGTGATTTATGTTGAAGAGTATTCTGCTTGAGATTAACATTTGAATCACTGGACTCAGTGAAACAGACTGCCCTCTGCAGTGTGAGTGGGTCCACCCACTCAACTGAAGATTGGAACAGAACAAAGAGGTTGAGTAACAGGGAGCTCCTCTAGCATGATTACTGAGCTGGAACACTGGTCTTTTCCTGCCTTCAGACTCTAACTGAAACACTGACTCTTCTTGGGTCTCAAACTTTCTAGCATTTGAAGGAACCATACTACTAGTTCTCCCAGTTCTCAGGCCTTTAGTTTCAGACTGGAACTGCAACATTGGCTCTCCTGGGTCTCCAGCTTGCCAACCACAGATCTTGGAACTTCGCCGCTATAGTCATATGAGCCAGTTCCTTAGAACACAACTCTTTCTCTCTCTCCATGTAGCCTGTTGGTTCTACTTCTGTGAAGAATCCTCACTAATCTCCCATGGGAAGAACATAGGACAAACCTGGTGATAAATTAGAATTCCACAGTACTTATTTAATGCACACCAATATGGTGCTTTGGAGAGGCAGGAGCTACTATTAATATCCTCATTATACTGATGAGGAAACTAAAGTGCAGAGAAGGCAAGTAACTGGCACAAGGTCATCTAGCCAGTTAATCCTGGATCTGGGATGAGTTATCTGGAGGCTAGGCTCCAATGCCTGAGCTCTGAACCATCATGCTCTGCTCTCACAATCACATCTTCTACTCCTGATGTGATCTGTCCTGTTCTCCCTTTGAGGAATATCCTCTCTATTACCTCAGCTGATTCATGTCCCACCATTCAATTGCCAGACATCCATGGTGTCCTGGGTGTTCTGATGAGCTCCACCCCTGGCAACCTCAGCCAGAAAGGCTTTCACCCTAGGCATTCCCAAGCACCTACCTTCCCTAGTGTCCACCCCAGCCTTTGTGTCTCTAGCCCTGGTTGGCTGGGGTCAGGAGAAGTTTATGATACACGTGGAGTCTGGGGAGCACGTTTAGCATGAGGGGTGTGGGGAGGAAAGGGGAAAAAAGCTTCAGCTTCCCTGTCAATCCCCAGTGGTCTAGGGAGAGGTGAGGGCTACTGTTCTCCTGGAACCTGAGCTCTCTTTCCCAAGGAGCAGAGTTACAGGCTGGTAGATCCCCAAAGGACTTTAGGAGGACCTAGTTTAACCCACTTGCCCTATAGATGAAGAAAATGAGACCCAGATTAAGAGACTTTATTCCCAAGACCACATTGGAACAGGGGAGACTCCAGAACTCCACACTCTATCTTATTTGGAACGAAGACCTGAGGTCTGGGCTTTCTTCTTACTCTGCAGCAAAAAGCCATTGGCTAGCTGGCCATTTTTCTGGATCCCAGAGAGCTTGCCTGAGCCAGGGGGACACAGCCTGGGGACACAGCCTGCCTCCTCATTTCCCAGAGACTTGTTTGTTAAATGGGATGACTCTTGAGAATGGGAGCCACAGGCTGAACCTTACCTCTCCGGGTGAATCTCTGGCCTCCCAGCTCCAGGTAGCTGTGCAGGGAGGTGAGGCAGGGCCCTTCCAGGTAGGCTTTGTCGTACTCAGCATAGCAGCGCTCTCTCTCCATCCAGCGCTTGGTCGCCAGAGCCACAGGGTTAGCTGAGATCCAGCTCAGAGTTTCCACATCCAGTGACAGGTGGTCTTCCCCATCATAACCAAACTGCCAGAAGCTGTTGGAGTGGCCATCTTCCTGGATCTCACAGCCAAACATGCGGTGACTGCTGTGCATGCCTGTGAGTACAGGTAAGAAAGCTGTCACCCTAGTAGGGACTGGGGGTCAAGTCCCTGAGACCCAGGGAAAAGAAGTCCACCACACACAGGGACATCAAAAAAGTAGAGGGACAGGGCATCATCATTTAGATAAAAATCTCCCAAGTAATTTTCATAAGCAGCCTGGGTTGAGAAACCTGCTAGGCCTCTCATGTGGGACAAACACCCCAGTTCATAATTAGACACATCCTTATATCATATCCCACACTACTTGAAAGTGAAAGTTGCTCAGTTGTGTCCGACTCTTTGTGACCCCATGAACTATACGGTCCATGGAATTCTCCAGGCCAGATACTGGAGTGGGTAGCCTTTCCCTTCTCCAGGGAATCTCCTCAACTCAGGGATCAAACCCAGGTCACCCACATTGCAGGCAGATTCTTTACCAGCTGAGCCCACAGGGAAACCCACCTGTGGGTGTAAAATGTTCTCAACGGTAAGACTAAGTCATGCCATGCTTATCCCGGGGGCCCTTGGCTGATGCACAGCCCTTCTCAGTCTCAATCCTTTATATCCTTTGTATCTACTGATTCTGAGGCCTCTTGGGACCTGAGGCTTTTAGCCTGGGCAGTTGGGTATCCAGGCACAGACAGGGACGGTGTTGTGTGAACAAGCTGTGCTCCATAAGCACTTCATTCAGAATAAGCAGCAGCCCTGGTGGTGGGCCCAAGTGCACTGTTGCTGAGAAGGAGAAGCTGAGGTGGTACTAGAGGGCCTGGGGGTACTGCATGAGTGAGGATGAGGCAGGGAAATCCTCTCCCCATCAGCTGAGTTTCAGAACCCAGGTTAGCTAAGGGGCAGGCAAGGGGTTAGGGGGAGACATCATGGGCCCCCAGCTCCTATGATGCTTGCTGCACTGTTCTGAGGCCCTGAGGCCCCTGCTGGACTGTGGGGGAAGTGGACTGAGAAGAGCCAAGTGTCAGAGGCTTGCCCCACACCCTCTGACAAGCACAGCTGCCCGGAGAGTGAGTGTGCAAAGGGTGAAGGAAGGAGCATGGGGCTTCCACCCAACGCACCGGTGCTGTGGTTGTGGTAGCCCATCTCTATCGATGTCTCCACCTGATGAATCTCTGCCCATTTCCTCTGCTTCTTGGTCTCGTCCTCCCAGTATGTGGCATCCTTGGACGAAATCCATGGAGCTTGGGGCTCAGCTTTGTCCATACGGCTGTCATACCGGATAAAAGGCTGATCATCCACGTAGCCTACAGCCAGAAACCTAGGGAGGCTCGGGCCCGGCTCGGACAGGTCCAGGTAGTGGTAGCGGAGGGAGTGCGTCCCTGTGGAAACACAAATGAGTCTTGGGTTCACATAGACCACCAGGGTCTGCACCAGGCCTCAGTGTGCTGGGTGAGGTTGGCTATAGAAACTTACCCAAGAGAATTCATTATGAGCAAGAATGTGTGTGCGCGTGCTAAGTCGCTTCAGTCGTGTCCGACTCTTTCCAACCCCATGGACTGTAGTCCACCAGGCTCCTCTGTCTGTGGGATTCTCCAGGCAAGAAAACTGGAGTAGGTTGCCCCTCCTCCGGGGGTTCTTCCCAACCCAGGGATTAAACCCGAGTCCCTATGTTTCCTGCACTGAAAGGTGGGTTCTTTACCACTAGCGCCACCTGGGAAGTCCATTAACAACAGTGAAGAAGTGAAGTGAAGTCGCTCAGTCGTGTCCGACTCTTTGCGACCCCATGGACTGTAGCTTACCACACTCCTCCGTCCATGGGATTTTCCAGGCAAGAGTACTGGAGTGGGTTGCCATTTCCTTCTCCAGAGGATCTTCCCGACCCAGGACTCAGAGATATTCTTTGACTGGATTCTGTATAGTGTGAAGTCGCTCAGTCGTGTCTGACTCTTTGCGACCCCATGGACTGTAGCTTACCACACTCCTCCGTCCATGGAATTTTCCAGGCAAGAGTACTGGAGTGGGTTGCCATTTCCTCCTCCAGGGAAATCTTATGGACTTTATTCTCAGAAAGTTTCTCAGCTCCCATCTGAGCCACAAGGGAAGTCCTATTAGCAAGAGTAAGCACTAGCAATTTCAGTGAAAAAAAAAAAAAAAAATATATATATATATATAAGGGCATCCAAAGAGATTAAATATAGACAGCAGCAGTCGAACATTGAGGCCAAAGTTTAGGCATTAAGGCTTATGGACTTTATTCTCAGAAAGTTTCTCAGCTCCTCATGCAGGGCCTACTTACTCATACTTTGTATTCATCTCTAGTGAGTGTGATTGTCTGGTTTCCAATTTCTCACAAAAAGGGTGGGATATTTTTAAAAAGTTGGTTGCTTGGGAGCTTAATTGATGTGGTTAATTAAGCTTAATTCATTGCCCGGACATGCTTGAGAAAGGCTGGACATCATTCTTAGCTTGAACCATTACTGCCAAGCTGGTGGCACCTTGACTCCATTCCTCACTCCCTTCTGTTCCCACAGCAGACGTTACTGTGTGTTAGTCACTCAGTCGTGTCCGACTCTTTGTGATCCCAGGGACTGTATCCCACCGGGCTCCTCCGTCCATGGGATTCAAACCCGGGTCTCCGGCATTGTAGGCAGATGCTTTACCATCTGAGCCACCAGGGAGGCCCAAGACTAGTTGATCTCTTATCTCTTTGAGTCCAAATGCTGCCTCTCTACCATAACTCCAAACTCACTGATTTAACTTGCTGCTGGAGATGAAATCTACTTAGCAGTCAGTCCTGACTCAAGCTATTCAAATAAGCGCTGCATGTTAAACTCAGGTCACATTTCTGAGCTATCCCTGGCTTACTTTCATACTTAACTTTTAAAAAACTTTTGCTCAGAAGTTTTTACCCCCTAACACTCCTGTCTCTGTGTTATTTTTCTCCAGAGCACTGGAGAGAGTCTGCATTTGCGCTGACTAGAGAGTATGTATTTGTTTGTCTTGTTAATGGACTCTTTCCTCTGCAGTGTCAGCTCTCCAAGGGCAGGGATTCCTGTTAGATTGTTCTGTTTCCTCAGCACCTAGAACAGCTTCTGGCATACAGTGGGTGCTCACTGGTTGAACATTCACATGTGAAAGGAGTCAAACACATCTCTACACTCACTGCTCTCTTTTTACTGCCTCCTTGTTAATTCAGGCTATACCAAACTCTGCCCAGGTCCTCTGTACCTGCTGTTTCTTCTGCCCTAGGCATCCTCCTTTCTGTTTTCTCTCAGCCACTCTCCACACCTCAGGTTGCAGTCAGGCATCCCTTCCTCCAGGAAGTCCTCCTGATTTCAGCCTGATGTCTCACAGAGGGATCTCAAGAGTGTCCTGTGCTCCCTGTGAAACTATGGATTTCATGAGGGTGGGAAGTCCATCTGCCCTCTATTTACCCAGGGCCTAGCACACAGCTGGAAGTTGCTGTATTGGACAAAAAACAAGAACATGAATAGTATGAGGATTATCAAGAGTTGCCGTTTTGGGAGTGACCATTGTGCCTGCACTGGTTTAACTCCTCCTCATTCACTATCTTAGTTCATCCTTACAATAAACCTAAGAGGTCAGTGTGACTGGCCCCATTTTACAGATAAGGGAATCAAGGCCCAGGGGAGACCAAGTGTAGTACTCAAAGGCATGCACTAGAACGAGGGCAGCCCAGATTCTCTCCCCAGGGACTGCTGCCTTTTTCTAAACTGAGAAAAGGGATGCTCTCCTCTCATGCCTGGAGAAACCTCCTCATGGGAGGCAAGAGTGGTCAATGTTAGGAGTGTTTGTGTGAAGGGTTAACATCAGGCCTGAACTGGTGTGGGCCTCCTGGGAGATGACTGAATTATCTCTCATGGTGCTGTTTCCTTGCACATCTTTGAGTTAAGATCAGTGTGGGGGAACTCCTGTGCTGGCAGCTGTGAATGGGCATGAAGTTCTTTGGGGGAGAACAGAGGCTATGATTTCTCCATGTCAAGGTGATCCACTCACTTCTTGGCTCTGATCTGTAGCAGCTCTACCTGCCCTGGAAGTGAGGGACAGAAAAGATCCTGTGTCTTTGGGTAGCTGCTTGGACTCCTGGGTAGTGAGGAAGCCGTACAAGCTGGGTCTCTGGTCCTGCCTCCTTCTCCACAGCTCAGAAAGCATAGTGGGGTAGGCTGAATAATGCCCCCCAAGATATCCCTGCAACTGTTGAATGTTACTTTATATGGTGACAGGAGTTTTGCAGATTAAATTAAGGATCTTGGGATGAAGAGATTATCCCAGATTGTCTAGGCAGGCCCTAAATGTGTCCTTAGGAAAGGGAGGTAGAGGGAGATTCCAAGAAGGTCAGAGAAGGTGATGTGAAGATGGAGCAGAGAAAGATGCAGGAAGGCACTATGTGCCAAGAAATACAGTTCTAGAACAGGCAGGAAAGGCCTCCTTAAAAAGGGAATTCCTTTTAAAAGAAGGAAGGAACAGCCATTTAAGGATCTGACAACATTTCAGGTCTGCAGAGGGGACAGCCAGTGCAAAGGTCCCAAGTCAGAAGCGTATGTCAGGTGTCCTGTGTAGGTAGGCTCAATTAACTGACCTGCTCCACAGTGCTTGAGCATCCAATGAGATAATGAACATAAGGAAAAAGTACAGGCATGGGGCAGGCTTCCCAGGTGGCTCAGTGGTTAAAAAAAAAAATGCCTGCAGTGCGGGAGACTCAGGTTAAATCCCTGGGGCAGGAAGATTCCCTGGAGAAAGAGATGGAAACCTACCTAAGTACTCTTGCCGGGGAAATCCCATGGACAGAGGAGCCTGGTGGGCTGCAGTCCATGGAGTTGCAAAGGGTCAGACGTGACTGAACGACTAAATGATAGGCATGGAGACAGCACCTTCTCAGTCTCAGTCCTTCCCTATTCTGAAGGGAGAGGTGGCCTTGGGAAGGAGAGAGCTGGAGTTTGGGGTGAGGTGGGAAAAGATGCTTGGGTCAGCTCTCTGGAGGCCAGGTCTCAGCCCCTGGGACACTGTCCGGAGGCCCTGGCCTCTGTATCTTCTATCCTGGCAGAGTTTCCCCACCCCAAGACAGTCCTCCAGATTCCTAGACAGTGGACACGGCCTCCTGCAGGCTGGGGGCTCCTGGCCTCCACCATCCTATCCTTTCTTCAGCAGGCGGGCAAGGTCTTACCTCTAGGCCATGACTTGTTTTCCACCTTCTGCTGTGCCAGGTCTGCCATCACCACCTTTGCCATGGAAGCTGGGCCATCAGCCACCAAGGGCAGCCCCCAAGGACTCTCTGCAAGGGGAAAATGGAAAAGGATAGTATGAATCTTAAGGCATAAACATCCTTCCCATCCTTGTGTTTGCTGGGAGAGATAGTATGGAATGACAACAATGACAGGCACATTGGAAGGGAAGAGGAACATGGGGGTCTTGCCTCAGGAGTGATGGGAAACTTCCCCAGCAGGCAGGCACAAAGCCAGGAGAGCAGCCAGATGTCTCCATCTGGCTCCCTAACACCACCTGGTGGAGAAGGCAGTGGCACCCCACTCCAGTACTATTGCCTGGAAAATCCCATGGGCAGAGGAGCCTGGTGGGCTGCAGTCCATGTGGTCTCGAAGAGTTGGACACGACTGAGCGACTTCACTTTCACTTTTCACTTTCATGCATTAGAGAAGGAAATGGCAACCCACTCCAGTGTTCTTGCCTGGAGAATCCCAGGGATGGCGGAGCCTGGTGGGCTGCTGTCTAAGGGGTCGCACAGAGTCGGACACGACTGAAGCGACTTAGCAGCAGCAACACTACCCGGCAGCTTTGTCAATCCTGCCATTGACATGGATTTAGTTGGTTTGGAGGTAAAGGGGGGCTGGACACTGGCAGGCATTGAAACCTCCCAGGTGATGCTTATACGCTGCCAGAAGGACAACCCATGCACTCCTGCTTGGCTCAGCCCTGCCACACTGCTCAGCTAGGTAGCCCTGACCTTTGCAATATTACTCATTTGACAAACATCCGTTTGCTGTTTAAAGAACACTGTAATGGGTTACCATTTCCTTCATTAAAAAAAATAACAGATTATATATTTAATAGGAGAAATGGAACATGCATATACATTTTGGAGAAATACATATTCATTTTCTGAGGACAGATATATATTTAGTATATGAAACAGAACACCCAGATACAGAAATCCTCCCCTACATTTTTTATGTTCAAGGACATTTATTATACCATTGTTTTTTAAAAATTAATTTAATTGGAGGATAATCACTTTACAATATTGTGCTGGTTTTTGCCATACATCAACATGAATCAGGTATACATGTGTTCCCAACGAACCCGCCTCCCACCTCCCTCCCCACCCTATCCCTCTGGGTTGTCCCAGAGCACGGGCTCTGGGTGCCCTGCTTTATGCATCAAACTTGCACTGGTCATCTGTTTTACATATGATAATGTACATGTTTCAATGCTAGTCTCTCAAATTACCCCATCCTTGCCTTCTCTCACTGAGTTCAAAAGTCTGTTCTTTACACGTGTGCCTCCTTTGCTTGGCAGGTGAATTCTTTACCACTAAGCCACCAGGGAAGCCCTGAATCTTCCTATTGCATTCAAGAGCCTCAACTTGGAGGGAAAAAATAACCTCTTTATTTTCACTAAGCTCTAGGTGAAGTTTGGCCCATCTTCCTGAATGGAAGTTCAGCAGGATTAGCAGAACCTGTGCAGTGGTCCATGATTGAATCCACAGATGTTTTCCAACCACAAGACAGTGGTTTCAGACACCTGTAAATATGCTTTACCCTCAAGACTTACAAATTCTGGGAATTTTTGCTATTTAATGGGTGATTTTAATGTGTTAACTTAGAAGCACATATATTACATATCACAAATTTATATTTACAGCTAAAAATTTTAATAGCTTATAAAAATATAATTTGGATCCTTTGGAATCATATGTATTTCACTTATGTGTAAAAGACATTCTGAGACAAGGCCCAAGAACAAATATGGTTAAAAACTGAAAAAAAAGAAAGGAAAAAAATCTCCGAATCTGGATCCCAGTGTTGCCCCCTAGCGTCCTTTCCGGGCCCCATTTTAAATTTGTAAATCGTACATTTTGAATTTTCTACAGCCGAAGTGGCTTCTTGTACTTGAAGCCTTTAGTACAGAGCCTGGAATAAAGGACATCAGCTATTATTACTGCCATGACGGTGGACACTCCCGGTCTGTGCTAATAATCCTCAGGCCTCTGGGCAGTTAGGATGGGTGGTGCTCGGTGGGGGTGGTCGGGAATCCGGCCGGAGAAGGGCGGGGAGAGGATCAGCCCTGCAATTCTGCGTGCAGAATGGAAATTGGAAAAGGATGGAAATTCCCCGCCAAGTCAAAAAAATCCTTGCTGCTCCCTTCACCCGCTACCTCAACAAGGAGTCGCCCGGGCCACCCGAGAACCTCTGCAGGGAGCCAGGGAGACCTATAGCGATGGGCAGGTGCCTCGTCGAGCAAGCAAGCAGAGGCTTGTGCGGATTCCAAGGCCGCGCTCAGACTCCTGCCCCCGAGGAGCTTTTCCCCGGGGCCATCCTGGAGGACCAGGTCTGGGAGCCGAGTGAGAGCGGCGTCCTCCAGACGGGCCAAGGGATCCCCAGGAAGCTGTGGCTTCGGCTATCTCGGGTCATCTCTCCTACTGACCATGTTCTCCTCGCCTCCGAACCCGGAATGGCCTCTGTATTCTTGGAGGATCTTTCCCTAGCAGCGCCCCCGGCCCCCGCCGCCCCTGGTTACCTGCCGCGCCCTTCAGCACCAGTCCTGACAGCAGTAGCAGCAGCCGCAGCAGTGGTGGCGGCGGCGGCCGCGGGGAACTCCGAGGCCAGCCAGTCGCCAGCCTCACGCGCCGCCCGAGGGTGCCGGTCCCCGGGGGGTCCGCCTGCAGTTGTGCTAACGCCGGCCGCGTCCCCTCCCAGGTCCCCGGCGGGTGAGCGCTCAGCTCCCTCTGGGTCGCGGAGGGTGCGAACCCATCCTGCCTCAGGCTCAGGCTCTGGCCAGGTTCCGACTGGGACGCCATAGCACCACTGGGAACCGCCCGCCGCTCCTCGATGGCTCCGTCTGCTGGGCCTCGGGTGAAAAACAGGAACCAAACCCCATCGATTAATTGTGAAATACAGCCTCAAAGCCTTTCGTGTATACTACTTCTCGAAAGGAGATCAGGCGGTGAAGCTCAAGTTACAGCCGTCTGGCAAGTCGAGAGGTGTCTCCGACAACTTTGTCGTGATTCTAAAACTCTTGTGGTTTCTGTTGGGGACCCAACCCCTCCTGCTAACCTCACGGAGCTTTCTTATCTCCATCCATCAAGGAAGAACGGCTAAATTTCAAACAGAAGTTAGTGAAAATAAAGGTTATTTTCCCCATCTGGGTTCACAGAACCCCTGAATTCTCACCAGGGACTCTCATGTTCAGAAAAACGGTTTTCAGCCCAGCGTTCTCTGATATTTGAAAATTCATAGGGAGGGCTCTGGTGATCCTGATTGGGGTTAGTGAGGGGAGCAATTTTCACATCAGAGGGAGGGAGCAGGAGTGTCAGATGTGCAGTCCTGTCTGGGGACCACCACACAAATGGTGTCCTGCCAGCTAACAGGAGGAAAAGAACCAGACTGTAATGATCTGAGTCTAGAATACAATGTTTGTTGAGTTTTCATATTGTCAAAAGAACACATGGAATGAAAAGAATAGAGGAAGGTGGGCTTCAGAAAGTTTATGCAAATAAAAATATGTATGTAAAGGAAAAAACCTACAAAATTAATGAATCTGCATTATGATATGATTATTATATTCACAAAGATTGTGACATAGCTGCAGACATTGTTGTTTTTCTCTTGTTCAGTGATGCCTGACTCTTTGCAACCCCATGGGACTGTACCTCTACAGACTTCCCTTTCCTTCACCATTTCCCAGAGCTTGTTCAAATACATGTACTTTGAGTTGATGATGAAATCCAACCATCTCATCCTCTGTCACTCCTTTCTTTCTCCTCCTGTCCTCAATCTTTCCCAGCATCAGGGTCTTTTTCAATAAGTTGTCTCTTAACATCAGGTGGCCAAAGTATTGGAGTTTCAGCTTCAGCATCAGTCCTTACAATAAATATTCAGGGTTGATTTCCTTTAGGACTGACTGGTTTGACTTCCTTGCTGTCCAAGGGACTCTCAAGAGTCTTCTCCAGCACCACATTCAAAAGCATCAATTCTTCAGTGCTTAGCCTTTTTTATAGTCCAACTCTCACATCCATGCATGACTACTGGAAAAACTATAGCTTTGAATATATAGACCTTTGTTGGCTAGGTGATGTCTCTGCTTTTTAATATACTGTCTAGGTTTGACATAGCTTTGAAAGTTATTTTTCTAGATAAGCCAGGTTTATTTGGGGGGCCAAATCAAATAAATCAACCCAGTTAACTTTGGTTTGTTTCAAGGTATAAAGTGGGGTAACCAACTGCCCTGGTTTTAGTATTGAAGGTTCTGCATCCCAGTAGACCGTCAGCCATGTACAAACCAGGACAGTTGGCTATAGGACATGATGGGCCTACTGATAAGGAAGCAAGCAACTGTCAGTTTTGCTTCCTTTGTACACACTGAATCTTTCAGGAAGGCAGCTGTGCTGCAGATGAAAGAGAAGTTGTACTTTGTGCTGTGGGATACTTTACCAAGAGAGACTTTCTGTAGTGCTGTGTTACCCTCAGGGATGCTCCAGATTGTCCACACTGCATACTCAGATCAGTCTGCATTTATAGCTGTCATATTTGCAGAAATTTTTTGCACACATGTAACTACCTATGTCATCAGTTTATTTTGTATATAGTCAACTAAAACATTTAACTATTCAAACACATGCTATTATTTTACATATTGTAGTTTAATTTTTAATACTTTTTGTTATAATTACAGCACTACGTTGTCTCCAATTTATAATTCTATGGGTTGTTGCTCAGTCGCCAAGCCGGACTCTACAACCCTGTGGACTGTGGCACGCCAGGCCTCCCTGTCTCTCACCATCTCTCAGAGTTTGCCCAAGTTCATGTCCATTGAGTCAATGATGCCATGCAACCATCTCATCCTCTGTCACCCTCTTCTCCTTCTGCCTTCATGACTCACTGCCTTGTTGTGGCAAAGGGGCTTGGGTAACTCAATGAAGCTATGAGTCATGCCATGCAGGGCCACCCAAGACAGATGGGTCACAGTGGAGTGTTCTGACAAAACATGGTTCACTGGAGGAGGGAATGGCAAACCACTTTAGTATTCTTGTGGTGAGAACCCCCCAAACTGTATAGAAAGGCAAAAGTTCTATGGGTATACAGATTAAATTATCTTTGAATTTCTCTTCAGAAAGAAAATGATGTTATAAAATATTTGTAACAAGGAGAGCTATTCTGATGGGGCTTTGATACCCACCACTGGTAAGACTTGGATCCTGAGCAGGAAGAGGGGCCAGGCCCTTAGAGGTGAGAATTGACCTGGTTCTTGACAAAGGGGGCAAGGAAGATGAAGGTGTAGGATCAAAGGCAATTCTGGGCAGGGAAATGCAAGTAGAGTGGTGTGTGGGGAGCAGTGGGAAATGGGGGGTAGTGGTGGAAGGAAAGATCGCAGAGCTGAGGGTTGTTGGGGGCCTAATCACAGAGGGTCTTGAGTGCAGAACTAAGGAATCTGCATGCTGGCCTCAAGGTGTAAACAGTCAGATCCAACCATCCATTCAACTGGGCAGGGGTGTCTGCCCTGCAGCAGGTACTTGGCACAGGCAGGAACCAGGTAAGGTTACTGCCAGGAGAAAGTCCACAGTCTGGAAGAAGGTGATTTACATTCATTAGCCTAGTAAACAGCCAACACCAATGCATAAATAACGGAGGACGGATCAGACAGGTCCTGGTCCAAACCCTTTACTTACAGCTGCCATTCATTCCACTCAATACCTCTGAGGCAGGACCATCATTATTTCTCCATTTTGAAGATGGGTAAAGTGAGGCAGATTGAGGTTAATTCAGGCAGCTTGTAAGAAGCTGAGCTAAGATTTGAACCCAGGCAATCTGACCAGACTCCAGGCTCTCAAGCACTCTTAAAGTGCATAAGGACCACATGGCCCTCTAAGTGCTATGATAGAAGTTTAGAGGAGACACTGGAAGGGATTGGCCATTGCCTAATGGGAATTTACAGTGTGTACTGACAGCTGTCCCTGGGTCCAGGTAGAGGGTAGGACAGTGGCTCTGTGAGGGACGAAGAGAAAGACCCCAGAGGCCATCCTCATCTAGCACCCCCATGGGAAGGACTTTCTGAGAGGTCTGGGCACCCATCCAGCACCCTGCTATGTACTTGCTGCTCGCCCTGGGATCAGCAGTGTTTCTAGAATTTCCCCTAGACCTCCTCTACTTGCCTGGTTACTTAGTCTTGGTTCAGTGGCCCATTCACCTAAAGTCCTCATTTTAGGGACATTGGCCAAACTTTTCCCCATCCCTGGCTCCATTCTCTCCTCTGGATCTCCGTCCAGACATCCAGGGATGATTCTCCATCAAATGCTTCTCATGAGAGCTGAGGGCTGAATTCTCCTGGAGGTGCATCTGAGACTCCAGAATCCCTGATCCCTTGCTGTAGAACAGCTCACCATCAGGGCTGAGCACCCAGACGCTGGAGCAGAATCCCAGGTCTACTCCTAGAAGGATGGGAAGCTCACCATCAAAGTTAAGTTGTCAAAATCAATTACCTTCTATCTCAGTCAGTTAATACAATAATCAACAATTCTGAAATTAGCAACATTAGCATAAACAACATTCATTACTTTTTGTGGAGTGAGTCTGGGCCAGGATTTCTACAGCCAGGACTTCCACAGGCTTTTGTAGTATATGTTGGCTTCTACAGAGAGAACCCAGGCAACCTGGATTTCAGAGGACCTCATTTGATTGCATAAACCCCTTGTTAAAGGAAGAAAGGAAAACTTAAAAGCTGAGACACAAAACTGAATGTATTATGAGATTAAGCATAGACAGCTTATAAGACACTGTCTCTTTAAGCAAAGCAAGAGTGATTGATGTGGGTTTTGCAGAAGCACAGTGCTCAGAGGTTGGGGATTTTCAGAGTTGGGAGTGTTTACTTTCAGGGCTCTGGCTGACAGGCTGACTTTCAGAACTGTGGTCACAGGGAGAATGGTTATAGATTGGTGATCACACAGGTTGTAAACAGATTCTGGTGGTTTCTTTTTACCATGGCTACATGGTAAAGGCAGTGAGAGCTTTAAAATTTTCACCCTTCACAATCTTATCCTTCACTACCCTTCATCCACCATAGGCTCCCTGATCAAAGTCTTCACTGCTCTGGCCTGAGATCTTTGAGGAGAGAAGGAAGAAAGAAAGTTGGTGAACAGGTGGGGGAGCATTGCCTGAGAGCAGGAAGGAACCTCAGAGTGCTCCGACCTGGAGGTCTTGCCCTCTCTCACATCTTTCCCACCTTCCGAGGTCTGCTTAACTCACCTTTAGAGTAAGATAAGCCAAGAGAAGAGATACTAAAGGTGGTCCAGGTTCACAGTCAGGAAGGACACTGGGGCATGTATGGGGTTGGAAGGAGACAGAAGAGTGGAAATGGATGAGGACCCCAGGCCAGTAAGCATGAGAAGCTAAAATGACCATGGTCCTGGCAACTTTATCTGAGAAGCTTGCTTTATGGTAGCAAACCTATGTGTGCGTGCAGGCTAAGTCGCTTCAGTCATGTCTGACTCTTTGCCATTCTATGGCCTGTAGCCCACCAGGCTCCTCTGTCCATGGGATTCTCCAGGCAAGAATACTGGAGTGGGTTGTTGTGCCATCCTCAAAGGGATCTTCCTAACCCAGGGATCAAACTCATGTCTCTTACATCTCCTGCATTGGCAGGCAGGTTCTTTACTACTAGCTCCACCTGGGAAGCCCAGCAAACTCATGAAGAGGGTGCTGATGGAGGGAAAGAGAGGGTTACAGGTGGGATGCAGGGTGCTGGAACTTCCTGCCAGAGGGTCTTAACATCCACACCTTGGACCAGGAGGAGTCGCATGGGGTA